TTAGGTTTACGTTTGTACGTTCGTTACGTTACGTTACGTTACGTTAGTTAGTTAGTTAGTTAGTTACGTACGTTACTCTTACGTACTATATAGTAGTGTGTGTGTGTGTGTGTGTGTGTGTGTGTGTGTGTGTGTGTGTGTGTGAGAGAGAGAGAGAGAGAGAGAGAGAGAGAGAGTCCAGGATTTTCTCTTTGATGTTTTTCATTTGTTAACTTTATGTGCTTTGGGTGTTAGGTCACTAGGTTTGTGGTAACTGTGGTTTGTAATTTTTGGGAAACTGCCTTTTGTTGCCATTTGGCTTTGGATAGTTCGAGTTCGTCTTTGGTATATACACTAATTCGTGAGGATCTTTTCTTTCAGTCATACGTACCTTTGGTTTTTATCTTTGTTTTTTGGGTTTCCTGCCAAAGATGCATAGATTTTTAAAATAAGAGCGTTCTTTCTCCCCTCTCCAGTATTGCTGTTGATGGGTGCCCACACTTGTTATTGAAATTTTGATCTTATGAACATTTGTTTCATGAATATTTGTTTTATCTTTATTTATCATCAGAATACTATCGTTAATCTTTGATTCGCGAAATTAAAAAAATTCATGAAATTAAAAAAATAATAGCATTCTTTTCTCCCCTCTCCAGTATTGCTGTTGATGGGTGCCCGCTCTTGTTATTGAAATTTTGATATCATGAACATTTGTTTCATGAATAATTGGTTTATCTTTATTTATCATCAGAATCCTATGGTTAATCTTTGATTCGTGAAATTAAAAAAATTCATGAAAATTTCAGTCCACCAAAATTTATTTTCAACTTCATTTATCATTGGAATCCTATTTGTAGGTTTTGGGAGTCAGTCAACATCCTAGAGGACAGTTGGAGTGGTCAAATATGACTATGAACGAGCGGAAGGTGATCGACTTAGATCAAGGATGGGCATTTATGCAGCAAGGAATTACAAAGTTGAAAAACATTCTCGAGGGGGTGCCACAGCAGCAATTCAGTTCTGAGGAGTATATGATGCTATACACGTATCCTTACCTCTTATTTTTTAAAACTTGTACTATGCTCTCTGTGTGTGTGTTTCTTTTTAATTTTTTCTTATTGTTCCCTCTTGTTTTTCATAATTTCTATCATGCTCTATGTGTTTTTTTTCCTCGACGGATTTTCTGGGAAAAAAATATCAATATTGGTTGTTAATCTATTGTTAAGTGAGAAATGGATATTTCCATTGTTTCCTTTTACTTTAAGAACAGGACTATCTATAATATGTGCACACAGAAGCCTCCACATGACTATTCCCAACAACTTTATGACAGATACAAGGAGGCTTTTGATGAATACATTAATTCAACGGTAAGGATATCATTTTGACGTTCTCTGAACTGTTGGACTTGATTTAGACATCCTTTTTGCTGAATATTATGGTATAAACGATGCATTATGCTCTGCTTATGTTTCTAGTGTTTTCGTCAGTTATCAGCTGAATCTATATAAGCATGCAGGTATATTGTACATGTGTTTGCATTGTTTTTTGTTTCATCATTTGTATTTTGCATGCATGCATTGCACACTTGTACATTGCTCTGCAAGTGTGGTATACACTTCTTTGTACATGCATATACAATGCTATACATTTGTATGTTTGCTTTCACACATGGTTGGGTGTGTGCGGTATTCACAACTCTCTTTCCTGCATGCTTGGTTCCATCTTTTCAAGGAAAATATTGGCAACCCTCATATGTTTAACTTCTTGTTTTTTTGTTTTACATTTGGGGCTTCCTTGATGCTGTAAATCCTTTCTTGTGTGATATGTAAATGGAAATTGTTACTTAAACAAATGATGTACTTTTTGAATGCCTTGAATTTTGAGTGTTACTTCATACTATTTCTTTTAATATACACTTCTTATAATCTTTAGTATGTAATAAGTATCAGTTGTTGTATACTTTGATGAGTTAGTTTTTCTTTTTAACTTTTTGATGTATAAGTTTTTATTTTTAACTTTTTGATGGATGCCTTCCTTTTTTGTTGGACTTTGTGATACTCATGATGTAGAATTGAATGGTTCGAACTTTGATTTACAAGGAGTTGTTACTGTTTTAATATTCAACATGTCTTGTCAATGGCTTAGCATGGGATGTGTGCATACTTGAAGCAAAGAGCATGAGAGGGTGAGTGTTCAGTAAGACATAATTGGTGATGTAAATTGGAGATTTGGGGAGGATCTGGGGAATGTTTGGAGAAACATCATCACAAGCAAGAAGGATCTAGTGAAGGGTATTAAAGGTGGTTTAGAGCTTCTTAAGGTATTTTCGTGGGTAATAAATGCTGTAGATATGATGCTGTGGGAGTTTCAGAGGAATATTAATTTTAAGGCTATGGAAGGGAATAGGTTAATGTTTGGGGTGATCCTTGGACTATGGAGTAGGGTTGAGTGTTGGCTTAGTTTTTGGGGGCTCATTAAGCAAAACTGGAATGTCGAAGATCAAGGCAAGCCTTGTTTCGGCGGTCATTAAGCTGGCTGCTGGCCTGGAATGGGGTCCTTAGAGTGGCTTTGGGACTTCCTTATATACTTGTACTGCATCACTTTCCTTTAGCACTTCTTAAATGTCTAGTATAAAGTGATAATTCTAGAGAAGTGCATGTCAAGGTAAGGTATATAATGAGTAAAGTAATTACGTTATCATTGCATCATTCATTTTCGCAATTACGGGTCATGAATATCTAACTCCAACATTTATAAGGAACATGAGCATCACATTAATAGGATTTTCTGAAAGCATATTTCTGCATGTAGGTGATGCCTGCTTTAAGGGAGAAGCATGATGAATTTATGTTGAGAGAACTTGTAAAGAGGTGGTCTAATCACAAAGTCATGGTCAGATGGCTTTCGCGTTTCTTTCACTATCTTGATCGTTACTTCATTGCACGGAGATCGCTTTTGGGTTTGAATGATGTTGGCCTCCAATGCTTTCGTGATTCGGTAAGCCAATCTGTGATTATAATATGTATTGATATGACTAACACTCTTTCTCTGGTCTTGAAACTTTAGCAACTGTTCCCTTCTCTGGGAATTGAAATTTACTAATGCTTATGACAGTCATGTATTGGCTTTACCATTTTTTTGTCTTTCATTAAATTCATAATGTTTGTTCTTATCATTTCAGGTCTATAAGGAAATGCGTGTTAAAGTCAGAGATGCTGTGATTGCCTTAGTGAGTTTACATCCATCAATGAACTTTGAAGCCCATTTTCTTTATATTCAAGATGAGACATTTAACAGAGAGACTGTGTTTGTAGATTGATCAAGAACGTGAAGGAGAGCAGATTGATCGAGCTTTGTTAAAGAATGTTCTGGATATCTTCGTGGAGATTGGAATGGGACATATGGATTGCTATGTCGAAGACTTTGAGACTGAGATGCTCGCTGACACTGCCTCATACTATTCGCGGAAGGCTACATCCTGGATTATGGAGGATTCCTGCCCCGATTATATGCTAAAGGTCATCCATGAGTTTAATTTTGGGCACTTGAAGAACGAAAAGAGAATCTAAGTTGAATTATTGGGAAAAGTATATTATAGTTCAGGACTACATAAAACCGTGATCCATTGGAGTCATCTGAGAAATGATGGATGGTGATGGAGAGAGTGCGGGACCACCATTGGGGCTTGTCCTGTTTTGGTGGGTTCTGACTGAACCAATGATCCTATCATTGGACGGTGAAGCCTGTAATGGACATTGACATTCTGTAGTCCATTGGACTGTAGTATACTTTGCTTTGGTAGGATTTACAAATTGATTATGGTGTTGAATTGCAGGCTGAGGAATGTTTGAAACGAGAGAAAGATCGGGTCACTCATTATTTGCATTCTAGTAGTGAGCAGAAGTTATTGGAGGTTTGTTTCATTAGACTCTGGTTCACCTCCAGATAAATTGTGACTCAAATTTTATTGAGACATGCTGGCAAAAGATTGTCAGCTAGCCAATTTTTAAATGAGGAGGTGGAAATGCAATGCAAGTCCTTTTATCTTCTTATTGATGTGAGAGACTGGAATATGAGAGACTGAATTGGTTTATTATGTGGCAGAAAGTACAACATGAACTACTGTTTGTATATGCAAGTCAACTTCTGGAAAAGGAGCACTCTGGTTGTCATGCATTGCTTCGAGATGACAAGGTGGGCTTTATGTTATAGACTCATGATGCACTGTGCTGTTATGATGGGTTATATCGGTCTGTTATGATGGGTTATATCTGTTTTGAGCTTAAGCAACCGTTAAGAGGCTCAGTTGGTTATTGTTTCTATCTTCTCTTAGGTGGATGATCTTTCAAGGATGTACAGGCTCTTCTGTAGAATACCCAAAGGGTTGGACCCAGTTTCACAGATATTTAAGCAGGTCAGTGTTATTCTACAATCACTTCGATTTGTTTTTGGGTTACAAGATTGTAATGAATTTTTTTGCTTTTTCTAAAGGAAAGAAAGTTTGAGGCCTTTTTTTTTTTTTAAGTGTGGTTTACATGGGTGTTTTGGCGCAGCATGTAACTGCTGAAGGGACTGCCCTGGTCAAACAAGCCGAAGATGCGGCAAGCAACAAGAAGGTGTGTTTGCTTTTCTAAAGAGCTATTCCTACATTACGTTCATGAAATTTTTCTAGATGCTGGGCTCAGAATTTTGTTTATTATGACTTCTAAAGTCTCAATAGATATGTCCCCATCTGGTTTTCACCTATCAAGGATGGTTCCAATTTCCAAATATCTATGGTTTTTGAGTTTTGCCCTGTTTGTCTTATTAAATAAATTCTAAAGATAACGCTTCTCACGACTTTGCAATATCAAAGCACTGGGCTTGCAGCGATGTACTGTTCTGCAAGTGATGTTTGTTGCTATTGTTTGATTGTTTTCTTTACATTATGTAAGCTAGTAGTGTTCTATGTATTGTGGATGGGATGCGAGTTTGGTTTCTGATTCATTATTCGTTTCTTTTGGAGGCTTTGTGGTCTAGTTATATCTCATCTTTGATTTATGAAATAATTTTGGAGAAGTTAATTCTTTTGTGTGTATAAGTGTCATCCTTGTAGTATAAGGGATTAACAGTCATTTTATTTTCTTTTTTCAGGCAGAGAAAAAAGATGTGGTCGGTTTGCAAGAACAGGTTGGTTTCTTTGGTACTTACTAGTGGTTCTTAAATTTTTAACTGACCAAACGTAATGCGTAATACTGTTTGTTTTGCAATTTCAGGTTTTTGTTAGAAAAGTTATTGAGCTACATGACAAATACTTGGCCTATGTCGACAAGTGTTTCATGAACCACTCGTTATTTCATAAGGTCTGCTACTTGACCATTTTATTGGGGAATATTATTTTATTTATAGGAAACGTGTTTGATGCGTCAGGGGGCGCGTGTCGCCTAAGCATCAAACGTCCATCTCTAAAATTGATTCACATAGTAGGGGGACTCAGAATAACTTGAAACCAATTGTCCAATTTTTTTTAATGCCACTTCAAAATTTTGAACTTAAGATATGTTTTTTCATATTTATTATCCCCATGATAGAGAACACGGGTCCCTAAATATTTGGGTTCAAAATCCATGTCTAGATGGATTATGGATGAAGGACACACCAATAGATGAGTCGCATCGAATCCAAGCCCTCATTTAGATTTTTTTTTTTTACCATATTTCGTTATGCATTATTATTTTTGTGATTTCTACAGGCCTTGAAAGAAGCTTTTGAAGTCTTTTGCAACAAGGGTGTTGCTGGTAGCTCCAGTGCGGAACTGTTGGCTACGTTTTGTGACAATATTCTTAAGAAGGGTGGGAGTGAGAAACTGAGTGATGAAGCTATTGAGGAGACTCTTGAGAAGGTTTCATCCTTTTCCAATTTCTATTTTTGAATTCTAATCTTTCAAGGCACCTCATGTAATTGCAATTGCAGGTTGTAAAGCTGCTCGCATATATAAGTGATAAGGATCTTTTTGCTGAGTTCTACAGGTATATCTAGCTTCTTTTTACTTGACCTCCGTCTCGAACTATGCAGTTGATACCATGTTATGAAAGCTAGATTGTTTGACTAGGAAGGATAGGGTTGGTTGCTATGCTGGTCCTGTTGAATTAAAATGCCATTCCTGTTGAATTAAAACCAGAATCAATAGAAAAAAATGATAATGTATTTATTAGATGGGAACCAAACAGCATGGAACATGATCTAATCGGTTGGTAGATCAGGTTGAGCAGTTTGAACTGAGTTAGCTTATGCTATCAGTTGATCTGTAGTGTTGTTTGCTGTAGTCCATTGTTTTATGGTGTGGTTTCTGCAGAAAATATTTTGTTACATTCTTTACATGGTTTCTCTTGTTTGGCATGTGCAGGAAAAAGTTAGCTCGTAGACTTCTGTTCGATAAAAGTGCCAACGATGATCACGAGCGAAGTATACTAACCAAGTTGAAACAGCAATGCGGTGGGCAGTTCACATCAAAGATGGAGGGAATGGTCTGGTCCATATTGTCTCCTTGGTTGCATCTCTCTCTCTCTCTCTTATATTTGTACAAGGGTGTGAATTGATGTTATTATTGCTAACAATCAGGTCACAGATTTGACATTAGCTCGAGAGCATCAGACCAACTTTGAGGACTACATCAACAACAATGCTAATGCAAATCCAGGAATCGACTTGACGGTCACAGTGCTGACTACTGGCTTCTGGCCAAGCTACAAGTCCTTTGATCTCAACCTTCCAGCTGAGATGGTAAGGGATGAGCCCAACATCCACTATATGATTCTATAAAATCAACGTTTTGTTAATTTCATTTGGGCCAAAATTTGTTCCAAATTTGACTTGCGCCAACCAAATTTTAGAAATTGTGACAGCAATCGTAAAAGTAATCTTGGAAGTTGCAGTGTGCCTTAATGATGGGTGTTGCCTCCTTTTTTTTTTAATTTCCTGGGGACAACCATTTTGTTGCCTCACATTTGTTTTTTGAAGAATGGAGTTAAACTGCTTCACTTTGTTCTGGATGTGAATTATTAGCTTCAGACCCAGCTAAACTCCGAATGTTGAATCCTAGTGATCCTCTGATTTTGATGCATAACTTCTTTGTTGTGACGTACAGGTTAAATGCGTCGAGGTTTTTAAGGAGTTCTACCAAACAAAAACCAAGCATAGAAAGCTCACCTGGATATACTCTCTTGGTACATGTAATATCAATGGGAAGTTTGACCCAAAAACAATGGAACTTATAGTGACAACTTACCAGGTAACTATTTTAATATATTGTTCAATAGGATGATTGGATAAATGGATATTCTTTTTGCCTGGAAATTGTTAACTTGGGGTTTTTGTTCCTTTCGCAGGCATCTGCCTTGTTGCTATTCAATGCTTCTGATCGACTTAGTTATTCAGAAATTATGTCTCAGTTGAACTTGACTGATGATGATGTTGTCAGATTGCTTCATTCTCTCTCATGTGCGAAATACCAGATCCTTAATAAAGAACCCACCACAAAAACCATCTCTCCAAGTGACTACTTTGAGTTCAATTCAAAGTTCACTGACAGATTGAGGAGAATCAAGGTTTGTCTCTCTGTGAATCTGGGCATGCTTTTTATTTATTTGTGTACTTATTTATTGTGATAAGGGAAGAAAGGGATAAGGTTTATTTATGCACATACCCACTGAAGCACATGCAGGCATACATAATCTCTCTCTCTCTCTCCCTCTCTCTCACACACACACTCTCACACACACATTGTGGCTTTGTGATCTGTGGTCTTTTTACACGATGTTGATCCTTTTACATGGTGTCTGTATCTTTTTGTTGTGGTGTTTCTCACTGGACACTGAGACTCGTGTGTTGATAACACAGATTCCACTTCCTCCGGTGGATGAAAAGAAGAAGGTAATTGAAGATGTTGACAAAGACAGGCGTTATGCAATTGATGCCTCGATTGTGCGGATTATGAAAAGCCGCAAAGTGTTGAGTTACCAACAACTGGTGATGGAGTGTGTGGAGCAGCTTGGACGTATGTTCAAGGTATAACCTGATTTTGCTACTTGAAAAGGTTTTTCTTTTCATTTGCCAATTTCAATTGCAATTTTCTTGTGGTTGAGTCTATTTTGAAATTTGGATTGATTTGTGACTCTAGCCTTATTGTGCTTCATGAAAATTTCTCTCTTTTCCATTTGCTAAATTTCACTTGTAATTTTCTCGATGCTGTCATTCAGTATTCTGAAAATTGGAGTTCTTTTGGACTCTAGTGTGCATCGTGGAAAATTCTCCCTTCTTTCGTTTGCTAATTTGATTGGCAACTTTTTCATTACCATAAAATTGGTATTCTTGGCCATTCTATAGCTTAATTGTGTTCCTTGGATTGCTAATTTCACTTGCTATTTTTTCTTTGCTATCATTCTGAATTCTCAATCGTGCAATCCTTTGTGACCCTGCAGCCCGATTTTAAGGCTATTAAGAAAAGGATCGAGGACCTCATCACAAGGGAGTATCTGGAAAGAGATAAAGATAATCCTAATACTTTCAGGTACTTGGCCTAATTTGTAATCTTTTTAGGCCGCAAGGAGGCAGCGAAGAGAGAGAGACAAATCTTGCTGATAACTTTTGGTTTAAAGAGAAGAAAAGCAAAGCACGTGCTTATGCCGCCCCGCCATGATCCTGTATATGTTGCAGAAACAAATATCATAATTTTTTTCTCTTTTTTTTTTTTTCTTCCATTTTTTTACTTTTATCAACCTCTTTTAGAGATTTCCCTCCTCCGATATGTAAAATTGTGAAAGGTTTGGGCATAGATTTTGGGTTCTCTTTTTCTTTATCCTACTACTGATTTGTGTCTTTTCGTTACACTGAATGTTTTGGTATCATTTTGTTTACATAAGTAATGTTCATTGGAATTGCATGTTTTTTTTTCCTATTTTTAGTCGAATGAAATCATTAATCTTCTTTTGTACTGTGTGAGAGTTGAGTTTGCTGGCCTATTCTGGAGAGCCTTCTTTCTAGAGAGAGATTATTCATTGGTGTTTTTTGCTAGACAGGGATAACCATTGGTTTGGTTGGTGGATTATATTAATGAATGCAATTAAGAGGGTTAATCCATTGCGCTCAAGATATTTCGCGATTTAGTGTGGACATGCTCAGGAGAGGAGGGCCTTCAGACCTTTCATCTAATGGCAAGTGAGACTTTATGAGCCTAGTTCTTGACCCTTTCAGTGGCCGGGTCATGCAGCACTGAGTATGACACGTGAAACCCTTTTGTGGCGGAACATAGACAAGGTATTGTGCTTCTTTGGATAGATGTGCTTTCTCATTTGCCACTTCTTTAGATCAACAAACAATCCTTCAGCCTTCTCTGATCTTAAGCGAGAGGAGAGGTTAATGAAATGTGGTACATCAATGTGCATGCAGTGGCTAACGACTCGTGGGAGGTCTTGGGCAAGTAGTGAAGAAGGATGACTTGGTGGGACTTGGAGTTTTGAGACTAATTGGCTTAGTCATGGGTGGTCAGACGGGCCTGACTTGGATGTGGACCATGTGCAAGAGGCTATTAGCCATATGTCTTGTTGGGCATGTGTTGGCTGTAAAAGTCAAGAGTGAGAATTAGAATATGAAATGTATAATTGACCCAGTACTGGTTTATACTATATGGGCATATGCCATGTGAAGGTCAAGAGTGAGAATTAGAATATGAAATGTATAACTGCCCCAGCATGGGTTTGTACTATGGCCATAGGATGTGTGAGAGGGAAGTGTATGTCATAGCTCTCGAGGGCATTAACGACCCACTTAATGATAATGCATGCTTGATTGATATGCATGGCTTGTAATGACCAGTGAAGTGGGCTGACGATCATGTCAACTTTAATGAGCCTCGTGTGCAGGCAATGAAGTGTAGGGCGTGAGCTGGTATACCTCCCACACCAGGTGGTAGTGCAAGCCTTAATGCTACAATAGTGACCGCGAGTGTTAATGCATACTTGGGGCTATGTGAACCCCTTTCCTAGACCCTAGAGGGACAGGGTTGATTATATATGTGGAAGTGTAAAAGTGGATAAGAGTAGGCTATATATGACGGTGTAAAAATGGATAAGAGTGGGCTAAGACCCTTCTCTATAACTTTTGCACGTCTTGTGTGACTGTTTGCTCCTTTCCTTGGGTGGGGGCTTGTCGAAAGCTGGCATGGCCTAGTCTGAATTTGCATTAGACTTGGTGTTGCATGGTTTTGACTAAGTGAAAAAAGCCCCATTGTAGTTGGTTCTGGAGTGTGGTGATCATGGCTGGTGGTGTCTTTGCCAAAATTGGAGAGCGATCAACCACCTTGAGGAGCAGCTAGAGCAAATACTGATTAATGACCCAAGGCGCTCAAGAAGATGAGTTGGGGCAGAGCTTCACCACCTTGGGGGCTTGGATAAGTATCTTTTAAGCTAATTGTGGAGGATCAATGTGGCGCCTATGACATTTGTACGGGAGAGCTAAATGGAATACCTTAGAACTTGGCAGACTCCTCTAAGGTGAGTCTTGTGACAATGCAAGAACATGTAACAGTTGTCAAGAAGGCCTTGTGCAGCAGCACTACAAGCAGGTTCGATTTAAGGAGTGTTAGGGTGCCTGTGCCCTGTTTTTGTCAGCAATGCCAGCTAGTTGGCTTGTGAGGCTTAGCATAGGCTGCAACAAATAGGCTAAATAAGGGAACACATGATGAGGTTTGCATCTCTCATACTGGAAATTCGAACTATGATCATTGAGGATTGGTTGTTCAACATCTTGTCCAGATTCCAAGATTGGCTACATGTCTAGTTGAGGAGGCAAGGTGTACGAGCCCATTGTTAGGAAGAGGCATGAGTCAGCTGGCAAGGATGGGCTTTCAAGGTCCAACAATGAGAGAGTGGTGCACTGCCTAGACATAAGAAGGTGACCAAAGAGAGAGGCACCTCAGAAGGCTTATAAAGATCTTATGCAAGGGTTACTTAGGAGAGTGACTTCTTAGAATAGCCGCTCCTCAATGCAATTTAACTAAGGAGGAGGGCCTTTCTCATGCTTACTCTAACAAACTTGTTGAACAGGGAGCCACTGGTGTTTGTATGCTGGAAGGTCATTTGTGGAAAAGAAATCACATATGATTAAATAAGCAAACCAGGAAATCAGTCTCAATTGAGAAAGAGAGCAATTTCCTAACCAGAATGCTGATTTCCTAATGACAGCCAACTGTAGTTAGACATTTTTAATGGAGAGCATCCTTTGCAAATTTACCTCGGGAGAGGTATATCTTTCAGATTTCTTATCTTCTATTTCTTGTTTTTTTTTTGGGTAGTTGAGTTGTAGGAATTGAACTTGAATGTAGCGTGGCTAATATCAACTGCTAATCAATTATACCCAGGCCCAATATCTACTTATTACTTTTAAACATTATTACTCTTGTTTTGACCTTAAATATTTGCAGTTTTCATTTTACCAAAGGTAAATAGTCTCTTGTATACAATCCCTTCAACAAAATAGGAAAAGTATACGATACTACTTGTTTATCTTCAAACAGTATCCTACTCATCAATTAACATTTGACAAGACTGATCAGCTAATGAGATATTTGAAGCCTTAGATTTTTTTTTTCTTCGTATTAAAAAAAAAAAAAAAATCCTCAAATTTCTACTTTTAGGCTTGTAGGCCTTGCTTTAGATTATTTGTTTTACCGAACTGCCAGTGCATTGGCAAAACTTATTCCAAACATCAACTTTGGGCCTTTATGTACGTGATAAGGTTCATTGCGGACATGTTGTTTATTGTATTATTATCTACTTGGTGTAAAATCCACTTACCTGATAGTAGGGTATGCGATGCGCATCCGAGACGCTCCCAATAAATCGGCTTTAGACTTTGAAAGTACTAAGTTTATATTTGGAATAACTTTGAATTTTCAAAGCCTAAATTAAGTTTGTGAGAAAAAAAAAATTAGACTCCCAATTTTCTAGGTAGGGGCAATTTGGAAAAAAAGAAGAAGAAAAAGGATATAAAACTTAAATTTCAAATTTTAATAGTATTTATTAAGTAACAGAAATTAGAGATAACTGAAGATATACTCTAGCATAATTTCCTCTCTTTTAGGCCCTCTTTTAGGCCAATTCGGAAATGACATGCAGCATCATTGAAGGTTGCTAATCTGGCTCTTTCGTGTAATGGTGCGAAGAGCTGGACCTTGGTGAGCTTTTGTTTGATCAATGTGAGCCCCTTTTGCCTTCTTTACTTGAATGCTGCCAGCTTTTTAGATAAAAGATTATTGAGACCTCTTTTTCATGATAGAAAATGAGTCTCGCAGTGGCTTACTCAACCATCCAAACCGAAATTGTTGCTGTAGAACAGGAACTACTAAATCTGGATTGTGTTCAATGTGCTAGTGATTAGGGCATATCGAATTAGGTTAGTCACCTAATTCCCTCCAAATTTTTTTTTTTTAGTGATTTCCCTTTTCAAGTTATTTGAACTTGGAGAGTTGGCCATCTAGAACAGAACTATAGATGAGGATAAGTTCATTGGAGGGCCGATCTTGGATCCAATTCCAAGTTTTAAAAGCTGGGATTGTCTACAAAGAGACCATTTATCTTTATTACAAGAAGGTCACAACCGTTCTCACTACTTAGATGTCAAATTGGATGGTTTTGAGTGAGTCATGAAGTTCGAGAATTTGTTTTTAGAACTTTGTGTGTATTCAATGACACTCTTGCAACCACCCATTTTGAAATTTAAGGGACATGAGTGACTGTGACCTTCTATAAAAATAAATTATCTTTTTGTAGACAATCCTTTAAAAGACCGGTCTAAACTAACCCCTAATTGCTTGAGAAAAAGAGAGATTATCAATAAGGTACGATTCGTAGCAGATCTTATAAATTGACGGTCCACTTAATCAAAAGATGTTTGTATCTTCTTAAACTCTCTCTTAGATATAATTTTCTGAAAGGGAAAATCTCCGATCACCAAAATATTATTTTTAGCACTTCTCGTGCTCTCCCTATTATTATCTAACTCAATTTTTTTATTTTATTTTAAAAGAAATCCTCTTTGCCGGAAAAGCTTAATTTTACCCTAGTAAAGAAGAAAAATTTATAAAAAGGATCAACTTTATACTCTAAAATTGAGACGCATATCAAAATCCACAAAAAAAAGGTTGTTCAAGCATTGGAAAACCTTTCAATTGATCATCTCTACTCGAGATGATGGCTATGAGAAAAAAAAAGACTTTAGATCCTAAAACTAGTACATTTTGTAACACATAATTTAGATGTCCATTTTCAAAATTTTCAATTATTCATAAACCTGTTAAATCTGCATGATTTTTTAAACTGGAAATTACAAAAGTAAAAATTAAATTTTAAGCTATCATAAGGGTTTCTAACACTGAAGCTTCATCTTATAGCACGATTAAGAGGTGTGCTTAAATTTGACACTTTATATAAACCACATCCCTCAAAAACAAATACATATCCATCGAAACTATTTCTCAACCAATAGTGGTTCTTTTTAGAAGAAAGATATCCATTGCAAGCAAAGTTTAAAGATGGTAGGTTGAAAATGAGTAGTTTAGTGTACATAGTGATCTATTGCAACGGTTGTATCATAGTATAATGCAATCACATTTCCAGAAAATCATGTTTGTGGTTTTTTTACGACCCAAATTTTTGCATACACACTCTCTTCATCTCAATAATCAACCTCCTAAAAAATGAGTCACCTCCAACAACGAATCTAGACCATTCATTTGGTGAATTTCAAGATCTTAGCCTTTACAAACTCAACATCATTTTTTTTCTTTTTTAACATTGTTCATCTAATGATAATAAAGTCATCTAAGAATATCGGAAAGAAAAAATCCTTCTAAGATCTAGATCTAAGCTTCTTATCAAAATGGATGGCCCACATTAATTGGGCTAAAAAATTCTTTTTAGGTTGTGTTTTCAATTTTTCCTTTTCTGTGATTGTTCATTAGAATGAAAAAAGTGTATATTTTAAATTTTGAATCAAATAAATGGCTATAACATTGTTTTTTAAGGTTGTTACATTATACTTATGATACATCCGTTGCATGAAATCATTGCACACACACACACACACACACATACATATATATATATATATATATAAAGATGAGATTAGTCTACAGGCTCATATGAACATACAACCCAACGTCCTAGATTGAATCTGGGCCGACCTGATGATCACATATCTCTAGTAATATTTGATTTTTAGTTTTTTTTTTTCTACAAATCCAAATTATTTGAAATTTTAGGCGTGTGTTCATAAAAAATGGGCGAGTCTTTGAAAAATATCAAGAAAATATTTTACATGAAATAAATTGACCAAAATACCCCCTAAAAGTTTCTAGGGGTATTTTGGTTTTTTTTTTTTGCGAATAATTTTTTTATATTTTTATTAGGTACGCTTTGATGAAAAGAATATGAACCTAAAATTTCAAGTGATTTGGATTTGTAGAAAAGAAAAAAAAAAGAAGTAAGTACTACCGAATATCCGTGATCGTCAGATCGGCCTAGATTCAATCTGAACCGTTGGGTTCATATGTTCATATGAGTTAGTGGGCTAATCCTATATTTTCCCATATATATAGGAAAAAGATAAGGTGTGCAGCCTAGCTTAAATAAGCTAAATATGCCAACGGCCCAGATTGAATCTGGGTTGATCTTACAATCATAGATATCCGGTAATGTTTGAATTTTATTTATTTTTCTAAAAATCCAAATCACCTGAAATTTTAGGCGTATTTTCATAAAAAATAGGTGAATATTTGAAAAATATTAAAAAATATATTTTATATGAATAAAATTGATCAAAATACGCCTATAATGTTTCAAGTGTATTTTGGTCAATTATGTTTTTGCGGATAACTTTTTTTTGTGTGCCTTGATGAGA